ACCGCTCTTAGTCTCACCCGTCACCCAGGACCTGTTTGCCTTGGGAGACCCCACCAGGGATATATAGCCCCCGACAACATAGCTCCTAGGATCACTCGGGTACTCAAACCCCTCCACCACAATAAGGTGGTGGTTCAAGGAGGGGCAGCTCAACATTGAATCTCAAAATATTTTCACCTTTTAGTAACTGCAATATCTTTGAGATTTTGTCTGCATGTTTTCATTGACTGTTAATGAATGAATTACACATAAGATTTCCAGGTAGGTTATGTTTAGGCTAAGAATAAGGCCATGACACAGCTCTATCTATGCAACCTGAAAAGACAGTAATCATCTACAATAGTATTAACCATATTAAAATAGGAAGGAAACTTTAGATAAAGGTAAGGTTGGCGATTCCTTCCAGAAGCACTTTTGTTACAGTTCAAGAAATTCTCTTTTCATCCCAATGGAAATGAATACATTAAATGCACTGACACCATAAAGAAAAAAAAACTGTAATCTGTGGCAGCAGTAAGGCTGAAAAACACCTGACCAATAATTTTTCTCCTCTCAAGCAAAATCATTGGATGGCCGACCTGCATGTCAACCTACTTCCTACTTGTGCACACGCTGCTTATGCACTCAATGCGCAAGCCAAGAGTCTCCCACAGGGCATTACAGTTGGCAGATGTGTTACTGCTCTGCTTTGATAGATAAAGCTAGCAAACTATGACAAAGAAGATACCACAGCAGCTTTCATTCACAAACAGAGACCGATTATAACAGGCCAGGGCTTCCCCTTTAAGACATATAGACTTGTAGGTAACATTGTTATGGCCAGAAGTAGTAACATGCATGATGTGTGAGCAGTATGAGAGCGAGAAGACCAACATATGCAGCCACAGGTGGGCAAAATACCAACAGCAGTCAGCTCTAAGTGTAAAGGCAGGATTGTAATGCAGTTAACTGGGCACCAAAGGCCACATGCAGTGTTCATGTTACCAAGATGGAATAAAGCCTGTGTTTTGGATGGAGTTAGGTGGCCACCCTCCTCACTTCTCCCCACCAGAAAAACCCAGACTTCTAAGGCTAGTTACTGGCTATGAGACAGGGCTAAAGCAGTTTAGCCATGAACCAGAGGCGGTTCGGGACCACACATCTGGGTGGGTAACACCCAGATCAAGAAAGTTACAACAACAAAAAAAAAACTGGATGCTGCAAGAAGTAAAAGCAATGGCGACAACTGAGAGAACAAATAGGGGCTGAAATGTGACACCACGGTGGCCGTATTTCTGCTTGACAGGTAATTATCAGTTTTGTTTTGTTTGGGGGCATTTGTTATTTTCCTGCAATTTGTAAGTAGTAGTTAGGCAGTGCATTTTGTAATGTACTGTACGTTGTGTTTTGGAGGAGTGGCTTTGCAGAGAAATCAGAATGAAAGGGTGAGATTTCTTCGGTTGGCTACTTTCAAAATCAAACTTCCTCTTGCTGGTTTTTCCAGGATCGCCAACCCTACCATTAATTCAAAAGTAAAGCATCTCTCAGGAGAGGACAGTAGTAGGTGCTATTTAAGAGAAGTGGTTGGTCAGCTGACCTGAAGATGTATTGTGCTATCACACTAGTATCGTGAGGGCAGATGAATCTTGTTTTGGAAAGAAAAGGGAAGAACAAATATGAAAGAATGACTGGATAGAGAGAACAGACGCAGTTGGAGATATGAATGCAAATACTGTACATGCGAATATATTACCTTCAGCATGGAGAAACAGTAGTGGATTTTTCTCATATCGGGTCCCAACGATAGTGTTACGTCTGTATCAGGGTCATCTAGAAAGGCCCTGACTTGTTCTTCCAACCTAAACACACAGACGCAAATATTATAATAACCCACCAAAGCTTAAACCAATTCCACATTTCATGTTACAATCCCTCTCTGCTGTGCTTAGCACAGACTCAACAGGAAGTCAAATGGTTAAGATCTATATTTGAGGAGTGCTTCTAATGTTTAAAATGTGGGTCTGTTCAAAGAAAACTATTTACTTTATCATGTTCCAGCTCCACTAGGCGGCACTGTTAATAAACTGTCACTAGATGATTGTCCAAACATTGGTTCATCATGCTCTGGACATGGCCACTGGAAAACACCAGGTGGCAAATGTCCAAACAGATCCAATAAAGGCACGACAATGTGTGGTTTTTATTTTCCACTGTAATGTGGTCAGTGTAGAAACGTGCAAGGTCTACATGACAAAGGACTTAAAACAAATGCAGCAGTCTTGTTTCAGAGCCCTGCACGACATCAGTGATTTTGTGATACAAAGTCTGAATTTAGAGAACGCCTGTCAAGAACAAAAACAATAATTTTCAAATGCCAGAATTTGTAATTTGTTGTCCTTTCTCCAGGGTGTGAGGCAATATGTAGCAAATGTAGCAAACAAATGTTGTATTTAGGAAAACAAATTTAAATGGACTTTAGCTTGCATAGAAATGGACTGACATTGAATCTTGCACTGAAGGCACCGGAGTAGTTTTCTACAAAGACAGACAAAAACCTGAGGATATATGTGTATTTGGAAATATTACAATATATAAGCCAGGATGTATGCAATCACTCAATACTGGGGATGAGTTAAGGCATAAACCAGAGAGAAAACAGCAACAAAAAAGTCAGCATGTCCACTGAATGTGGTCACAACGGACATCATTAAAGATTTTCTCTGCAAGTTTGCCCACAAACAAAGGGAAATGAGAAGTAATCACCCGGGCAGAGAGGAAATAATAAGAAGTCTGACTGAGGGGGCCAAGGCACGGTAAATACATCAGCACTGAGGGTGCAATGTGCCAAGGGTCTGGCTTGAACTCTGGCCCTGCTTCACAGGGCTCTTCTGCCATTTGAGTGTAAGAGCAGAAATAAAAACAGGTCTGGCTGAAGCAGAGTGGTCCATTAGTTCAGGTTAAGCTTCAGTGAATGAGAATTCAGCATTGCTGCACACACAAGAGCATGGCAAAATTTAAACGGCCTGCACGTTCTACCTTAATGGACAAAGTGCTTTACATCTGCCATTCACACACAGACTCACACACACTGATGGTGGTGGAGCTGCTATGCAATCTGGGGTTCAATGTCTCGCCCAGAGACACTTCAAGTTGTGGACATGAGGAGCCGGAGACTGAGCCTCCAACCCTGTGATTAGTGGATGATCTGCTCTACCTATTGGAGTGTTTTAGGCAAATCCCATATACTTATAAATTATGATATATACAGTGCCTTGCGAAAGTATTCGGCCCCCTTGAACTTTGCGACCTTTTGCCACATTTCAGGCTTCAAACATAAAGATATAAAACTGTAATT